TTGAAGGTAAATCAAATCCTTGTGGAACACCGCTTAAGGTATTTTTGTTCCAAAGAGAACTGGTTCTGGAATGATATGTCCCATGTGATAGACTCCATAAAAGGTATGAAAATGCTGCTGTAACTTTAGCCTCAGAGGATTGCAGGTCTTATTTATATTCGGACTTGCACCACAAAAGCTATTACTTCAGATAAAGTTGTCTTAGATACAGTATGCAGACATGACAATGGCAAGGTTGAACAAGGTGTAGAGCTTTCTGTTTTTTTCTTGAAAGTTAGTAAGAGTTTCAGTTCTTGAATTGCAAGATTAGTTGCTTAGAACTCTGCTACAGTACAGAGGAAGTTCTTGGCACCTCTGCTTCTTCGTTCAGGTGAGCCTGTAGTTGTCCTTGTGTTGCGACTTGGAGAATCCTATGGCAGATTTAAGTCTCTACTGCTCTACTTACCGGGTCAGTGCTTTAGATAAAGTTCTGGTCTATGTATTAGATCAGTCGTTGTTAAGCTAGTCTCAATAAACTGTGATTCTTTACTCACAGTGTTTGCTGAAAGAACTGGGGGCAGTGAAGTTAGTGGAAGAGCGATCACTCACAGGCACCTGGGATGTAAACACTTTGAAGCGGTGGAAGTGGAAGACTGCACAAAACCCAAGCAAAGGTAGGTGGAACAAGACAGTTGGTGTCTTTATTCCTGTTGACTGTTGAAGCTATATGAGTTCTCTGATTAAAAATATTGCTGTATTTGCAAGATGAAAAATGTTTTGTTCGTCTACATCACATACCTATTATCTAGCATAGTCTGCAAGCAGTAGGAATTAGCAAAGGTTCTCAGCAAGAACTAGACCTCAGTATTTCTCTTGTGGCTTATTTCACCCAGAAGTGTTAAACTCAAAAAAGATTTCAGGTTTCTATCTTTGGCCAGATTGAAGTGGCTACTCTATGAAGTCACGCTTCATGAATTTTGTTATATGCTGATGAGTTGTGTCAATCTGAGTTTAACATTGTGCTCTAGAAAAACAGACAGCTGGAGTTAAAAATCTCCCACTGTAATCAGCTTAAAGGTCTGTGTGGATAGGATTCCAGTTAGGGCTCTCATTCAAGTGCTGTAGGTGACCTCATTTCATTTCCCATTCCAGTTAGTTGCTTGGACATAGTCCTTGCTCTCACAAGCATATTATGTGCCTTGTAAAATGCTTGCAGGTATCTTGGCCTGGGCAAGCTGTGAGTTTCAGGCTCTGCTTGACCTGCAGCTAGGGACTGGCTTGTTTTTTACTCATGATGATCTAAAATGCATGACTGGAAAGTCACCCACATTTTCTGGTATGAGTCAGTGTATGAAAAGTAGATAGATTGTTGTGTATCTTTATATTAAGAATGAGAGTGCACTGTAAGTTCCATGTAACCTATAGCTTTAAAAGAAGAGAACCTTTTCAAACACTAGCTTTTAAGGAATACACAGATTGCATCTGCTGATATAGAATAATTTAAATAAAGCTCCTTCTTGAGTAAGTTACCAATGTTTCTGTGTCTTACAGGATTCTCCAATAGTACAAAGATCTCAGACGACTTTACTGTAACTGTTCACCCAAAGGAAATAAGGACTTTCTTTGTGTATTTTCAAGATCAATAAAGTCTGACTTTGTTTCAGGACTGAATATGTAATTGCTTTCCGTTTTTGTTTGTAAACATAAGTGATGGTCTTGAAAGGTATTCTGCTGCTGTCAATGAAAAGAATGTCATTTTGGAATGAACTCTAAATTTAATTAAACTGTTGACCTGTGTATATTTTTAGTACTTAATTACTTACGATTCTTTTTTTTTTTTTTTTTAACTGAAATTTGTTCAATTTGAAGATACAATAATGGCCTTAGTGTGGCAGTACCAGTGGTTTGAACAATTTCATGTTTGCTGTGGGTGGCTTTAAAGTGATGGCTTCTGTGATGTTTCATTTGGGAATGCTGACAAAGGCGCATTAGTCCTCTAGTCTTGAATTGTCTTTCTTACTGTGATAGTTTCAAGAGTCCTTTCACAGGGTTTTTATTGTTAGTGATGGCTTCTCAGTCACAGAATAATAATTTGCCCAAATCCATTCTGTTTCTATATGCCAATCATGTCTTTAAGCTACTTTGTCTTTCAGGCAACAACCACAACTTTTCTGCTTTACTGTGAACTCAAGTTGAATGCGGTGTTGGTATTCCTGTGCAGCAAGTTCATTAAAACTGTCTCTCTTAAGATTTGGAGTTGACTAGATTTGCCTCACACTATCCCATTAGTCTTCTGTTCTTTTCTAGTTAGATACAAAGGACAGTGTTTAGAGAGAAACTGACAGTAAGTGCAAGTTCTAAGCAGATCTGATTGAGCAGCAGCTAAAGGAAACAGACAGCGACCAGCTTTCCTAATAGCTGGTATGTTTTTGTGTTCAAAAGCAACGTTGCATTTTTCAATTTTTTCTTAGCTTGAACTGTAGAATCTCATTCTGTTCACATGCCCTTGATTTACGTATTCACTGTGAAAATGCACGTGGCTGAGATGAGAATCAAGTTGATCACTTACTGCAGTGGTAATGCTGAGTTGTGCTGTGTACAGAACTATATTTCTGGCCAGAAGAACTTGAAACACATGGGATTTAAAGAGAAATAGAGGCGGGTTTTAAATCTATAATTTCAGATCTAGATTCATCTAAAAAAAATACATGTTGCTGTGATAGTTGTTTTGATGTAGTTCTGATTATTTCACCAATAATTTCTCCCCCATGCAGAGATGCTGTTCCAGAACAAAGGAAACAGTGGAAAGGACTGTTGCAAAACAGCTGTGCTGAAAGAGCTGCACTGGTGTCGGCTTCTTTGTGAAGACAGCCTGTACAAACTGACTATGTCACCTTAAAATCACCAGAAAGTGCTGCTTTTCAGTAGGTGGACTGCTGTTGTTACGTATTTGTTATTTTTCTCACTTGGCCATAAACACTTGGCATACACCAATCTGACCTGCCCTGCTGCAGTGGAAGCTGTTTTCCTGCAGCGTTAATCCCGTAGGGAAAGCATATAGCACTGTAACCAGGCTGCAGTAAAGGATGATGGCAGCTATTTTCATTTTGTTTTGTGTGTATTCAGAAAACAAAATGTGTTCAACTGAGTCACTTTGGTAATCTTTTTTCAGTCTCTGCTTGGAGGTACCATGTATCATCATGGGCATGGGCACTGTGTAGGTTGCACAGTGGTATGATTTCACCCTGTGTTTTTGTGGATGAACTGGTTGTGTTGTCTGAGACACGTGTTAAAAACAATAAGGCATGCTGGTGGATTATAAAATTGAGCTGTATACTGAGTGAGCAAAGCAAATATTGCCCAAAGTATTTCCTCTTTCATGCCAGCATTCACCTAGTTTGAGAAGGTGCTTTTGGTGAATGCATTGATACCACTACCGTGGTTGATTTATTTTCACTGTGCAATAATTATGTGTTGTTCTGTTGTATTTTTTTTTTTAAGAGGAAATATTGCAGATCACTACTTTAATCACTAGAGCAGGTAAAAGTATGACTTACACTCATATTTATTTGAAAATGAATTGTGGTAGGCACAGCTGGCCCATTGTTGTGCTACGGAGCTGTTTTTCTGTTCAGATGTAAGTTGTCATTCATTACTGGAAAACAAATTAGATGGGGTTTATTTCCATGCTAACAAAGGTTTTGAGAAAAGTCCTGGAGATAATATTAAACCAAGTTTTCAGCTTTTTGCTTGGGTGAAAGCTGGACAAAATTAGTAGTGTGGATGTATCACAGAAAGCAAGTAAAGCTCCCCTGGTGGTAGTGAGATGTTACCAGGTCTGTTACACAGAGCCAGGTGAGAGCCCAAGTGGCAGCGTGCTTTGCACCTGGTGTTTGCTGGAGGCAAGGAAGACTCATGAGTCTTGCAGAGTCCGAATGTGGTGATGTTAATTGTAGACAAAGTGAGAAAACTGAGAAGAATCTCTCTGTTGCGGATGCATTCTGACCCACATAGTTTTTTGTGTGATGCAGATTGCCTTGAGAAACACTCATATTTTTTCCACCCACTCAGTAATACCACTGACTATGAATACCTTGCGTTTGTGGGGTCATGCTGTGAACTGCTACAATGAAGTAATGCAGGCTAAAAATAAACCTTTTTTCTATCCCTCTTTCTATGCCAATTCATTTCGTCTCTGATAGTGGATGCTTTGGATCAGAACCAGAGCATCTTTCAGAGTGAATGTGAGCTGCTGTCAGCACTATTGGAAAAGTTTTGCCCAGCCTCTACATATGGAGCTGCCAGCTGCACACCTGAGCACAAAGTGCACGAATACACGTATTTAAATGCAAAAGAAGCTAATTTCTCCATTGGATCTGTGCATACATATTTCATTTATTCTGCACCAGAATTAACAAAATTTCAGTACTAGTATAGCTAATAGAATATTTCTAAGTATGTATCTCTTCACTTCAGTTCAAAGATATTTGTTTTGCTCTCAGTAGCTCTAGCCAGCTGGGTACCATCAGAGATAAGGACACTCTACAGCAGTCCTAGAATTTGCAGTTTTAGGAACTTACTTATCTTTGCTCATGTATTGGGGTATATTTTGTGTTTGACCTGGCAATGCAAGTGACAGTAGAATCAACCCTGATAAGGCAGATGCTGAGATACAGACATACTGATGCATCGTGTTTTGTTGCTGACAGATGAGAACAGTGCTCTAGGCTGTAAATGTGGCTGTGTCTTCATTACAAATTGCAGCTCAGCTGTTCTGGACACGTGCCTGGTGCTGCTGCCAACCAGATGTTGGCACTAGAATATTTTGTGGATGAGACAGGCTCATACCAAGACTTCTAAATTAACTACTCATGTTCTATTAGATTTTTAATTTCTTTTTTATTTTTACCTTCTGTTTCTGCAATTTTTAATGTAATAACAACTAAGCATATTTGTGGAACGATTTTGTGTGGCCTGCTACTTTTGCATTTGAAAGATCTTTGGTCAAGGGAATAAGGCTGATGATGTATTTTGCCTTCTCTGTCTCTGCCAGGCAATCTAAGTGATTCTGGGCTGGCATCAAAAATCAGTGCAGTTGTCTGAGTTTCAGGTGATTTTTTTAACAATTGAATGGAGATGAGTTTCATCAAGACAGCCATTAACTTGATGACATACCATAGCTCACTTCATACAACCCATGCTCATAATCTTCCTCAAGCAAATGTGTGATAAAGAAATGAAGGAGTAGTGCTTGGTATCAGTGTAACCTATGTATGAGCATAGCCTCTTAGGCTTGGGCAGCATTACTCAGTTTGGATGGAAAAGACTATTGGCAGCCTTAGGAAGTGAGAAATCTCATCTTTACAAAATGCTCCCAAATGTAAGATTGTGGAAGTGGTGAATTTTGAAGTGCTGCAACTGTTGGAAGGCAGCCCTTCATGACTTCACAGAAGGGAGACCTGTCTGCTCGTGAGGAAAGGCAACTGGTGGAAACTCTGAGAAGATTTGTGATTTCAAAAGGCGTAACTGGGCTCTGAAGCAGAGGCAACTACAACTGCAGCGTCAAAAAGAGCATAGAGAAGCACGGGGCTATACTTGCATTTCATGTCATCGTCACTTCATGAGGGAAGAGGAAGTTGGGCTGCAGCTCTGATGTGCTTTCATTTGTTGTTTAGTTCATCTTCAGCAAAGACACCCTGATGTGAGTGCTGTAATAACTGCGTGATGGTAGTCTCTTCACTGGAACTCCTTTTAGCAACGTGTGTTGGCTGCTTAGGTAAGTACTGCTTATGGCTTTTCTTCTTTTATCGTTAGTAACCTGTAGTTCGTGAGATTTTGATTTATTTTAAATCCAGCCCAAAGCGTGTCAACCTCAGACTTGTGTGTATGTGAGACAAAAGTGAAGTGTGTTATTGTAATCCAGAAATCAAAATTAAAGCGTGTGGGGGATTGAAAGGCAGTTTTACCAAGAGATTGTTGTAGGAAAACATGTAGAGGAACAAATTGTAGACTTTTAAAATACATTTTAAACGTATCTTAAATGACAAAACAGGTGAGCAGAAGTGACATGAGCAATCAGTTCTTCAAACAGCTTCCAAGTGTTTGCTCACTGCATCGGTCCTTTCCTTTATTGTTCAGCTGTTTATTACCCTTACGGTGTTCTCTGCTTTTAATGTGGGAAGATACTCTGTTTTAGTCTACGTCTTAATGCAAACTTAGAGCTGTTTGTACAAATTGACTGCAGTAAATACGATGAGTTCTTACTTAGAAGTATCCTTAATAGGGAGTGCAAAGCATTTGGCTTCCAGCATAATGTTGTAATAATAAGGCTCCTGATAGAATTTCAGGCTGGCTTTGTGAGCCTCTGCTGTTACTCTTCTTCTCATACATATCCAGCAAACGTCTGGGTAATTCACAGAGCAGCTGCGAATGGCTGGGCTCACTGAAATGGAGGTGCTGTTGAGCATTGCATTGTGAGGAAAAAGTAGAGGTGCTGTTAGGTATGATGGCTAAGAAGCTAAGGAAGTTAAAACATAATTTATGCAATTCTAACAGAAATTAATCAGATGCCACATTAGGAGCAGCTGAAGACCAAGTCATCATGTTCCTTATGTATTGGTGTAAAAAGAGTCTGAGTTGCAGGGTAAGAATTGGAAGAAAATTCCACAGTTTACACTCCTTTTGATTAGTTCCTCACTTTAACAGTTTACACACTAGAAGAACAGTGATGATAATTCTTCACACAGCAAATGAAATCCGTATGATCAGCAATCTAGGGATAGATCTGTATAAGACTGGCATTTCTGTGATGAGCAACCAAATCATTGACACTGAATAAAAACATGATCTGATGTCCACACAGTGATTTTACTTTAGAAGAAAATGATTTGTACACTGCTGTACTGCACTTCATGGAGACAATCTAGCAGGTGGGCAGTAAGTGATTGAAAGCAGCAAAGAGTAAAAAGTGTGATGTCCTCTGATATCTGAGTTAGCCTTAGCTTAAAGCCAAATGAAAACCTGATGAAAAAACTGTGGTGTGAGTGGGATACATAATAACATAAGGAGGTAAATGTCGTGCTATAGATACAACTTTTTCAGCAATAACTTAAAAGGAAATTTCAAACAAAATTACGGAACCCAAGGCAAAAATGCTGTACTTTTTGTCACTAAGTAGAAGCAGGGCAGAAAAAGAACTCCTACATGGGGACAAAAATTTCCAGTGAGTTTTTCTTTCTTTTTGACAAGTCTTTTTCATCATGGATGAATCATCCCAAATAACTCCTTTTGGTCATTCCTTATCTGGCAGATGAAAACTATGTGTTTAATGTGCTTCTAACTCAACATCTCTTATTTAAAAAAAAAAAAAAAAAAAAAAAAGCTATTTATTTAAAATGGGAAAATAAGTATATTGACAAGTACAAAGAAAAACTTCACGTTTTGCACCAGTGATGAAGTGATACAACACATGGTAAAAGTTTACTTTAGCCACAATGTGTCTATTTTCAAGAAGTGGGTAGTAACTAGTCATAAAAATTAATGTCATCACGATTTTACAGTATTAGCATTACTTAAAATAGTATTTAAAATTGTAGATATTAGAGGTGTTAAATGATCTAATTGCTTCTTTCTCTTTATATGTATTTCTCCCAGTAGCTGCAGATCCCAGTAATGTAATAGTCACCCAAACACCAACAGAAATGCACCTGTCTATTGGAGACTCCACTGAAATAGCCTGTATTTGGGAAAAGTCAGTTAAGAGATATAGAATCAGCTGGTATCTTGTTAATGAGGAGAATATCACCAGAACTGTATCATCAAATCTTGTCTATGGACGCAACATCACCCATCAAATCAAGGATGTCCTAGTGATTGAGGCTGCCAGTGCAAATGACACTGGGTTTTACTACTGTGAGATAATTATTGAAATACCTTTCTGTAAAAAACTGTATGGAAATGGAACAATGCTGGTCGTTGAAGAGCGAGGTAAGAATGCAAGAGTATGTTTATGTCACTTAGCTTATCACTTCCTCCCTTTCCCACATCCCTCCCTCAGTGCTGCAGATCTTAGAATGAGCAAGATGAACACAGCAGGGCCTGAACAGCTCCTTATGACAATTACCTTAAGCTCCTTGCCTTAACTATCCCAGTGTAAGGTGTTTGCTTTCTTCTTCAAGGGTTTTACTAAGAAGAATTAGTACTGAATTAGGATCCAGAAAACCTGTGTAACAGCAGTGTGTTTCACAAAAGGCCCAAACCCAATTCCCTCTTTAGAGGAATCCATTAGGGTGGATGTGAGATTGTGAATGTATCTTTTGTGTTGTGGGATATGGATGAAATAATCACGTGGTCACTGTTGAGTAACATGCATTTACTTTTATTGAGAACACGTTTAAAAAAAAAGTGGGAGATAACTATGAAAGATACAGAAGTAGAGTGTCTACATTTATAAGAGTTTTTGTCCATTAACTTACGACAAGTTGATTTCTAGAGGCTATATTATCTTACTTTAATGTTGTCACACGCTAAACTTTAGCAAGAACAAATTAAGGTCCCAGTTCTGAATTCAAGTTTGATAAGCATTAATGCAATGTGTATTCAAACACAATTAAGTTATTAGGCAGCAGGGATAAGATATGCTTCACCTAACTCCAGAGAAAGAGTGTGTCATACCTAGAAAGTAATTTACCTCACTTGTGTTTCACAGCTGTCTCGAGATACCAGGCATCACTTTCTGAAAATGCCAATCTCCTTCTCTCTTTTTCTACCTCTGAACTGTAAAGAAAAGACAAAGTGGACAGTTCTGACTAGACCTTAAAATGATCATACACCCGTTATATCAGCCGCTTATTGCATGGAAACATCTGCTCATCCAGTCCAGTCTGGGGCACTGCTTTATGCTTCTGACCATCTGGTAGTCCAAATGGAGGCACAAAGATGACAAAAGATTTAGAAAACGCCAAAGGAGGTTTGAAATAAAGAGTGAATGAAATAGTGTTATTCTAAGCAGGAGGGGGAAATATTCTCCTGAATTGAGTTTAGTGATCTGCTCCATCTCTTGGTCAAGTAGCAGTAGCCTAGAAGTACAGTAGAAAAGGTTCAGATTCACTTGGGGGAAAAGCTTTCATTACTGTGGGAACAATGAGTTATAAGTGGGATTGATGGTAATACTCATCAGAGAGCATCCAGCACGAATGATGCAGCACAGATGACCTTGCATATGAGTGGGAGAATAGGTTGATTCATTCCTAAAGTTGCATTTTGGTTTGGTTTGTAATAATGTTCTTCAATTGTTTCTTTGAGTTGTGCATAACTTTACTTTAAAAATGTAATTGCAGAAGCTCAGTCATTGGATAAGAAAACGTCAGTAGTTTGGCTCATCGTTCCCATCATTCCTTTCTTAGCTGCAATGGGGAGCTTATACTTCTGCTACAAAAAGAAACAGAAGTCGACGTTTTCTGGTGAGTGACAGTGTTTCCATTAACGCATGCTTTCTAAACTAAATATTTATTTTGAGCTGTATGAACAGATGAACTTGAGGCATCACCAAGAGGACTTCCAAGGTACAACTTCTGTTCACTTTCTCTTTATCTGCAATGGGCACCTCAAGCTGAGAAATTTGAGAGGAGGGTCCAGAAGGCACTGGCTGTACCTCAGACAAGCATCTTACAGCCAAAAGAAGTTGAGCATCTAGAATTTAACTCTGCATTATTCCTGCTAGTGATACCTGGCTTGGGTGGAAAAAATTATGAGAGAAAATAGTACACAGGAAGGGTGCAGGACAACTGTAGAAACAAGTCATCTGCGGGTGATGGGTGCAGGCCAGTGACGCAGAACCTAAAGCAGCCTGTTAAGTAACTACATAGCACGAATATTATGGTGGCAATAGAGGCTTACTCAGCTGGTGGGCTATCAGGGATATAGGTGGAATGTCTATGACATTCAACTTCTTCAATTCAACTCCCAGTTAAAAAAAAAAAAAAATTCTGGGGCAGTTAGGACAGGTGAGTCACTAAGCTCAGTGTGTTCTCTCAGCCCAGAAAGCCAGCTGTATCCTGTGATGCAACAATATTAGTGTGGTCAGCAGGTCAAAATCCTGCCCCGCTATTCTGCACTGGCGAGACCCCAGCTGGGGTATTGCATCCAGATCTGGAATCCTCAGTACAGAAGAGACATGGACCTGTTGGAGCACATCCAGAAGACACTGAAGACACTGCAAAGATGATCCAGGGGATGGAACACCTCTCCTACAAGGACAGGTTGAGAGCTGGGGCTGTTCAGCCTGCAGAAGAGAAGTCTTGGGGAGACCTGGGAGTGGCCTTTCAGTGTCTAAAGGGGGGCTGTAAGAAAGAAAGATGCTGTTTAGCAGCATCTGTTGTGACAGAACAAGGGAAAATGGTTTCAAACTAAAAGGGAGGAGATGTTCCCACGTTGCCCAGAAAAGTGGTGGATGCCCCATCCTTGGAGACATTCAAGGTCAGGCTGGAAGGAGCTCTGAGCAGCCTGGTCAAGTTGTAGGTGTCTCTGTTCATTGCAGGGAAGTTTGACTAGATGATGTTTAAACAACTCAAACAAATCTATGAATGTATGATTCTGTTTTGGTAACTGGAGGTGACACAGGAATGGAACTTGAGATCTATGTGAGAACTGGTAAGTAGTAGGTGTCTACTTAGAGGTAAGCTGATTGGTTATCAACTGCTTTTTGTGGCACATGCTGTTATCAAGATCTCTATCACATAAGAAAAATTGACAAATCAGAAGGTAGCTGATATCGTCTGCCTGCACAATGCCATACTATCATCTCTCACTGACTGGCCATACATGAGCTCTGCACACTTTGTTTCAGCAGTTTTCTCTGGTAGAGTAAAAGTGTGAGCAACAAGAAAGCGGTGACCATAACTTTTTTCTACTAAGGTTCTGCCCAGCTTCCTGCACCACAAGAAGGGCATCAGGAGGAGCAGACACTTGAGGTGGCAGACATTTATAGAAGAACTGAATCCACCAGAGAAGAAGCTGGATGGGTAAGTGGTTTATGAAAGAGCTTTCTCTTGCTGTGAGGAAAAGAATTTCAAAACAAGGCAGTGGGGAGTATGACTGAACTGAGAGCATGCAATGATAAACTGCAGTTCTAAGAACAGCATCTTACTGTATGCGAAGAAGTTCTGAAGCACAAAAATGTAAAATAAGTACTTTAAAAGCCAGCACTCTAAATTAAGGAAAAAGACACAGAAGACACAGGAAAGTATTGGTTTCACTTGTTAAGGTGGTTATGTTCAATGACTCTGGGAAGAAAGGCAGCAAAAAGTGGAGAATCTCAATATAAATACTGTCTGAAAGAAGTATAAAGGAAGTGAAAAATAGCAATAATTTTGTTCACATATATTCTGGGACCAGCCTCAGTGCAAAAGGCCATTACAACTTGCAGTGCTTGCTGAGAGCAGGTAGATTTATGAAGGCAAAAACAGAAAGCCTCCAGAGGGAAGTGCTAGCTTTTTGTCTTCACACTCTACAGCATCCACCTTCTTACTGTTTTACAATCAGAATTTTATTTGCTGTGTGTCTGGGAGCTCAGACCTTTGTGCACATTTCAAGGAGAACACTAATTCTCAGGTTTTGCTGAAGAACTGACTTGAAGTTCCCAAATCCTACCTGTGCTTAGGAAATGAATATACGTCGGTCTCTGTATAGCCCAGAATAACATCTGAATGCCATGTCAGTTTGGTGTTTTACTGCATCAAAAAGCACCCACCCAGAAGGAACAATGTGGTAGATTTTTTTTTTTTTTTTAGAAATATTGGAGCTAAATGATTCAGGGAAACGCTTTTGCATTTCAGAATTCATAGAGCCTTATTTACACCTGGACCCATATATCTATGGTATCCTAAGGTGGGTACCTTGATTCTGGTGCTTCGTTAGCTGAGAACTGAATCCCAACATAGGGAGATGTTGCCATTCAATGTCAGTAATTTCCATCTAGAACTATAACTCCACGTTTCTGTGATGTGTCCAGTGCTTGTCCCTCTTTTCATTTGGCTATGCTATATATTTTATCTTGGATATAAGGTTCATTTTAAATAGCCTTTAATGAAATTTTCTTTGTTTTTTAAGGCTGTGTCTACGCTTTATAACTCACTCGATTCTTTTTACGATGCATCAAACTAAAAGATGACAAACCCACTGTCACTACTGGACCCAGTGCAGCAGATGAGCAAATCCCATGAACTGGGGCAGCTGCAAAGTCTAGAACTGGGGTGTGGTGAGGAGCTTCCATCCACTTTGACATTCAGAACTAAAGGATCATGTAATAACTATAATGTTGTTAACATGTTATGGAACTGAAAACAGTATGTAATGTGCTGCTGGAATATAGATTACATGCATTTCCTGCAAGAAGCTGTCAGAAGAAAGGTTGGTCCAACACCATTTCCTGAATGTTTTCTGACTGACTTTATTGTAAGGAGTCTATGAATTTTGAGAGCAATTTTTAGAAAACTGTCTTCAACTCAACTGTTTTGAGTTGGACCAAATGATCCTTTCCAACTCAGGATATTCTATGATTTTAACTCTTCCTCCGTATTCAGAGTATGGAAATAATATAGGATGCATTATATTTTGAAAAATCTTCTGTACTGAACAACTTCCTCTGAACAGCAAATGCATTTCTTCAGGTAGCCCCTCTGTAAATCAGTCTTTCATCCTGAGAGAGCTGGGGCTGTTCAACCTGGATAAGGGAAGGCTTCAGGGAGACCTGAGAGTGGGACATATTCTTCAGCAGAGTCTGTTGTGACAGAACAAAGGGAAATGGTTTCAGACTAAAAGAGAGGAGATTATCATTGCATATAAGGAAGAAGGTTTATTGTTGTGTTTTTTTTTTTAACCATGAGGGTGGTGAGACACTGGCTCATGTTGCCCAGAGAGGTGGTGGATGCCCCATCCTTGGAGACGTTCAAGATCAGACTGGCACCTGATCGAGCTATAGAGGTATCCCTGTTGAATGCAGGTGAGCTATGGTAGATGGCCTTTGAGGCTGTTTTCCAACTCAAATGATTCTGTGAAATTGCAGAAGTTAAAGGAGAATGCTCGTCATGGTAATCACTTGGCCAAGCAGTCAGTAGTACGTACAGGATGACGTCTGCTCTCTGAAAAGGTCGTCTGTGCTGACAGTGTCATAGCATGGGTGGTGTGCCAGGAGGCGTCGTGTTCCTGTGGAAAGGGACAAGATGTTAATTCACAGAGCTACGGAAAGTCTTTCAGAGAATGCAGTCTCCTGTGTCAAAAGAAATACTTGGTTTAAATGAAGTTGTATGTAATATAATTAGCTGTATTTATTGCCTAGTGTCTGCTATGCTGGACACAGAGCAGCTTTCCAAAGCCCTTCCAGGCAATTGGCGCCATCTCAACTGCTGGCTGCTGGCTGCTCAGCATCCTGTAGTGAACTCCTTGCTTGACAGCGTGCCTTGTGCTCTGGCTCTGTTCATGCTGTGGTGGCTGCAGCTCATGGATTGCCCTCCCAGAGTGCTGCAGTGCATTGTGGATGTGTGTCCTGCAGGAGAGAAATTATTTCTTACTCTGCAATTTATGTAGAGGATTTTCTTTTCCTCCTTTTGAACTTCAGTCACTTTAAAATCTTGGACTTTTTTGTCCTGAAAGTCATGATTACAGATGCTTCCTCTGCTGCGTGGTGAGCGCTGTGCTGTGCTATGTTCCTTTGAGGCTCACAGACATGACTGTCCTTGATTTCTGCAAACACTGCAGCTTTTTTTCTCTATACCACAGAGTCAGAGGCAGTAACAGGAGTGGTGACCTTCAGAACAGGTCAAGGAAACTCTCAGTTATGTATCACAGATGTAACTGGGTGTGGCAAATGCTGGCCATTTAATCTGTTACTGGTTACTTCTAGAAGTAAGCTCTGTAAAGAGATGTGTACAATATTCAGATGATAAGTAAAACCACTAAATAAAGATTGCCACCTGGCCACAGTTTAGTAGTCCGTAAATCATATTTTCATTACAGCACCAGTAACAAATCCTTGATTAAATGTGGTTTCTCATAGCAGAGCTCCACATTACTGACAGCTGCTCGTATTTTGAATGCTGACATAGTTGTGTCCAACATCTGGCAATGGGGAGATCGACCCCCACTTCATCGTGTCTTGTTCTTGTCTGACAGAGCCGTGAGCTGCAGCCGAGCTCCCCTCCCTGTTTCTATCCCACTGATGGCACTGGCTTGGAGTTGTTGCACTTCAGCCTGTTTCCTTTCACTTGGGACTGCAGACCTCAGCTTGCTCTCTTCCTTGCTTCATTGCACAAAGGTCCTGTGGGGCTCAGCTCCATTCAGCTACCTGGCATTTGGGCAGTTACTCGTGGCAGTTTGGCTGCTGGGTGCTTTGGTCTGGCTCAAGCCTTACTAACTTGCCATGGAATCTATGGAAGAGGAGACTGGAGCTGCACCCCTGGCTCTGTAGCATCAGGCATCCTTGGCAGCAGACAGGAGGAGAAGGAGCCCCCAACCCTCTGGCCAAATAGTCATGTTCCTGTGCGTGATGCTGTGACTCATATTTTTGTGCCTCATAATGGCACTTTCTGAACAGCAGTGACATTAGCTTAGTTAAACTAAAACTCATCCGCAATCTGATTTTATCTAAAGTGGTTTCTCTATACTGCTGACATCAAGAACTGCTGGCGTTCACAAAAACAACACCTACGGCCCAGGCTTTAACTGATTTCAGGCTGCTTCCTGCGTTAGTTGAGAACTCTGTCAGTGTGGAAGCACAGCTCCATGGGGCAGGCAGCTGTGTGATTGGATCCAGTCCGTACAGAGGGCAGATCTATGCAGGCAGGATGTGTTCGGATGGCAGTACTTGGCTAACTGGAGTGCTGGCTGCGAGACAGAAGCTGACATCAATGCTTGACCTGAGATAAGGTGTTTTGCCTGCTCCTCCATTGAAGACTACCATCTTCAAGTAGATCTTCTATTTAAGGGAAACACTGTTCTCTGAAGAACCACCTGAGGAGGAGCTGACGCATATGATGTGGGGCCCATGTTTCCATTCACCTAAGACAGACGTTGTGTTGCTTTTATTCTGGCTCACAAACTGGGCTTTCCTACCTCAGTGCAGTTTTGTGCACTGCATCAATTTCAGTCAGACTCCAAACCGATGCATGTTGCCACATCCTTTATAAACAACTGCAGAAACAAAGCGGAATAAATATACGATGATCAGAATTTATTTTTGCCGCCATACTTGTCTTGGGTAGGTACAGCAAAGGCTGGTTTGGTGGTGGTTTTATTTTTTTTTAATATGTCATCCTATATCACTCCTGTGAACAGGAAACTGCAAATCCAACTGGAAAATGGATGTAGAGATCAAAAGAACGTTCACTGATTTCTCTGAATGTGAGAAAGGGTGGATGATAACGTGTGGACTGCAACGCTGTATGAAGGCAGAGCTGCCCTCACATAAGTCATCTGAGATCTTTGTGTCAGTGAAATGCCCGGTGCTCTGTCACCTGCTCGTGTTTGCCTTGTCCCAAACCTGAATACCTGCACTCCTGCATAGCTGGATGGCAGCCTCTGGTTAGGGCTGTGAAAGCAAATCCGAATGTAAGCAATAGGTTTTGCTCCCTTGTTACAGCTTTTAATTCTGGAAAGAGAATGAAAGGTAAACATCACCAGTGAATGCAGCAGAAGAGGTCAGTTGGTAAAGTGACAGCCTCCACAAAGATACTGCTAGTCTGATGGAGTTGGCTCAGAGTAACCCTCCTTTCCCATGTTAGCAGCTCTACGATGTTAAATTTAGTTTTTCCTTGTAAGTTTCTTTTTAAAATGCAAACTTTACATAAATAGTCTGGCCCTGAACTGGGCTCTATCGAGCAAGAAAGGAAATGGAAAAAGCAGCTGACATGTTGTTCGGGCTCTGAGCGAGGAGGCTGACAGCCTCTAGGCAGGAAGAGCAAGAGCTGTTTTTTCACCCTTCCTGTCTGCAATGCTGTGACAGAGCTATGGGGCTGCTAAGCATCCTGTATTATTTCTGCTCTGAACCCACATACATAACATTTTACAAGGGAACAAGTATGCTGAGCATGTTGGCATTCCGCTTCGGTCATTTGCTGGGGGTCAGCCTCATGACCACTGCTTGAAATGATCCCTTTGGGAGTTTTTGTGTTGTTCTTTCTGACCATAGTACAGGACTTTCCCCCATGCTGACCACAGCTCAGCAGGATGTGCCTGCAGAATTACAGAAGCACGAAGGTAGTGCAAATGACAACAGGACTGCCTGTGTGAGAGTGACCAAGCTGTCGTGGTTGTTGGAAAACAACAGTGAAAAACTTCTTCCTATCATTACAATAAAAAAAACAAAAGAGCCTTGGAAGCCTTAATATCATGAAACTTCAGCACAGAAGTACATAAATCCCATGCAGGGTAGCATGAAGGAAATGATTCAATCAGAGGCTGAAAACTAGACAGAAGTATTTACACTGTAAATATTGATTTACTGTTAGTTGGCTTTGGTATGCATGACTTTACCTGTCTTTAAAATACATGTACATAGTATGTGAGCTCATTAATCAATTTTAAGGGTATTTTGAGAAATAAATGATAAAATGATGACCTATGCAGTTTTAAACCCTGAAAAATTGCCAAAAAACTCTGAGTGGCTGCAGCATTTAATCCCCAGACGTATGTATGTGTGCTGTGGAAGTGAGATGGCCTTTAAAACCATTACCCAGATGTAGAGCAAGTTTTTGGAATTGGTGCAAAGGAGAACCTTGCTCTTTAGTGACTGAAATGTGTTGTTGCTCTAAATTCAACAAGAAAATGGGATGCTGAAAAAGATGAGGGTTTTGATAATTATGTCTCAGTGTGGAACATGCACTGCTTGTTTTTCTGTAAAAGGCAAATTGAAAAGGGAATATTAGAAATACTAATTGAAAAGGGAAGGGCTGTTTAGTACTGCTGCAAGAAGAACTCTGAATTCACTTCAAATTGTGTTTCCTCCTGTGCTTCCTACATTCTGGTATTTAAATTGTGAGAACTGTCAGAAAGCTGTTCTGCAAACCTTTTGGGGTAAATGTTAGGGGATGAGAAGCTCTAAGAGAAGTTTAACCTTTCAGCTCTGCCGGCAGTGACGCTGACACAAATGGCTCATTAGACCTGATGAATGTATTTAGTCAGACTTTTCCAAAGCAGAAGCCGCTGCAAAGAGCACAGGGTAAAATTTATTTTCTGAGAGAAAATCAGCTCAAGGTCGTACAGATCACAGTGAAGCCTGAGTGCCTGGCCAAGTGCCACTCAACTGAAGTATCTGAATGGTTTCTGGAAACAGCATGACTCTGCACATCAGCGTCATATTAATAAGTCACACTTCTGGCCCAAGTCAGGGCAGCAGGACCTAATTCTGTGTAAGTTCTCTGTAATGCCTCATCCAAGCTGTTGTGTACAACATTCCTCCAAGAAAGAAACTTGAAGGAAGCAACTGGTGGCTGTTGTTTGCATGGAGACTGATATAAAATGTAACCCAACGCCAGCTCCCAGCTCATCTCCCTGAGTGCTGGATAGGTGGGTTGGCATCAAAGCATTTCTTGCTCTCTTGCATGGCCTTGTATTTGTACTCTGCTGTGTTTTGCAAACAGCTGGGGATGGTCTATTCTGTGCCTTGTGCACCAAGCTGCTTTTCTTAATTAAAAGCATATCAGAAGAAAATATTTAAGCAATACAAAGCATGTGAATTGAAAGTCTGAGTAGTTCTGGGGTGTGTGCGTGCATGTGAA